TTGCCTTAAACTAATGATAGTTTAAGTGTCTGATTAATAATTGCCTTTTAAGAATGTGATTATGGAAATTATGATTTGGCCTTAGACTAAGAATAGCTAAGAGCATTATTATGATCTGGCCTTAGACTAAGAATAGCTAAGAGCGTTGTTATGATCTGGCCTTAGATTAAGAATAATTTAAGAGCACTATTGAAATAGTATCTGAATTGAATCAAATGTGTTGATATAAACTGAACATTACCAAAACTGTGAATGTCTTAAATGAACATTGTGTGCATGATATCAAATGATTTGATTATGAATTTAGATTCAGTTTATATGGATGTTCGACGTATTAGATATGCTTACTCAGCTTTACCACTGAGCGTGTAGTGTGTTTTATTTGCTACACGCAGGTACAACAGAAAGAACACTGTGATCCTGGCAGCAGATGGGGCGAGATTGTCGGGATGGATGTGACAAGTTTGAAATGATTTATGATATGTCAAAATTAAATTCGCTTCCGCAATATTATTGAATACTCCGTACTGTATATGTTATGAAAAATTATTGGGATTAATAAAGTGTATTTGAAAAGTTTTAAATTTTTACGATTACCAAGTTAATACTTTAGCCCGGAAGGGGCTGCAGACCTGGACGGATTAGGGTGTTACATTCTTGGGCCACCAGTATATGATCATCAATGGATCTCCCCTTCTGGAAAGCTGCCTGCTTAGGAGAGATGAGTTTGTGGAGGAGGGTATTAAGTTTGTTGGAAAGAATTCTAGTTTAATCTTGCTCATGAAGGTGGAGAGGGAAATAGGACGGTAGTCATCAAAGCGCTTGGGGTTCAAGGTTTTGGGGATGAGAGTCAGATAGGTGCTTCCGTATGCACAAGGGATGGGTCTGCCAAGGAAGAACTCTTGGGAAGCAATGAGCACATCTTTTTTAATTGTCTCCCAACAGGTTTTGAAGAAATTTCCATTGAATCTGTCTGGTCCACTTGCACTGTCCCCGTTAAGCTCCCAGACAACCTTCTTTACTTCATTAGTGTTTGGGATTGCACTCAGCATCATATTGTCCTCCTTTGTGATAACCTTGGGAATCAGGCTAGTGATAATGCTGTGGGATAGGGCGTGGTTGGAGGTGTAGAGTTTCTGAAAGTGTTGAATGGCCTCCTCTTTAATTTCATTGGGGGATGAGATACCTCTTCCTCCAGAGGTAATAATGTGTTTGATAGAAAGTTTCTTTCTCTTCCCCTTGGCATAAGCTTGGAAGAGTTTGGAGTTTGCGTCACCCTTATCTAGCCACCTGATGTTGGCCTTTTGTCTCCAATAGTCCACTTCCATATTGACAGCTTTGATGAGTTTTGCGTTGGCTAGTTGAGCAGAAGTTCTGTTAAAATCTATGGTGTCTGTCTCAAAGAGTTGTTGGGCTTGAATGGCTTCATGCTCCAAGTTTTTGAGGTTGAGGAAGATGTTTCCAAAGGTGGTTTGATTCCAGAGTTTTAGGGCAGTTTTTGTAGCTTGCAGTTTGGAGGTCAGACCCCTCATTCCTCCTGTTGTAGGGCACTTGGACCAAACATCTCTAATAGTCTGTTAGAATGTTTCATGCCAGATCCA